GTAGATATCGCAAAAAAACTATCAGTATCATTTGTAACTCAACGCTGAGAAGTTACTGGTGAAGCTTATACTTGTCATTGTATCTATATATATGTGTGTACCTAATAGAATTTTTTAATAAAATTGTGTGAACTAACTCTGGGATAAATGAAGTATTTTTTTCTTTATTGAAATATATATGCTAGTACAGCTTTGTTGCTCCTAAAACAATGTTTTGTATTTCTTTTTTGGATAGATGCCAGCAGAAATACAGTTGAGAGTACACGTACTCCTAACAGCACTTTAATCGTTGCTTTATATAACGAAAATTATTTTCACGGAGCGTGCGATTCAATTGAGTTAATTCTGGTAGCCAGAGTTTTGTAAATGCGTTATTATCTTAAAAATTTAGCTAATGGCACCGCTATCAGTTAACTTGCGATTAGCTCAAAACTCAAAAGAAGTGTTCTATTTTAATCACAATAGTATAACTTGAGAAAAAGTTTAATTTATTTTATTTTATTTTCTTATCATCAATTTTAAGACTTTTAACCTATGATTATTTATTTACTTTAGACAACTCTATTACTTTAATACCTTCACTGGGTACTCTGGTTCTCTGTGGAACACGACCTTATGTGCATCGTTTATATATTTTATAAACTTATAAATTATTTAGGTACTTCACAACGGAATGCTTTGATGAAAGTGAAAAACCGATAGTCGAGCTACGTGACGTGCATTGAGTGATGCCTACATGTAGCAATGGATTTCCACAGACCTGTGATGATGATGGTGATATGGCCATTTGATTTTTATGTTGGCGAGCAAGGAGGTGGTCCATCTGATCTACCACATATACGATACCTATGGAGTCAGTTTTGACTGAGGCTGTGATACTTTCCCGGACGAAACTGACCATTCGTGCAAGAGCAAAACCTGCCTTGGCCTGGCGTATTTTTATAAAGCGGTTATTCGACTTCCATAGTTGGGTCAAATTTGTCTTATTCGCGAAAATCTGCTCCATCCGAGCCCCGACACCCTCTGACACGTGCTGCCCAGATATTTGTCGGAAGGAGCCGCTCGCTGAGTGACTTATGTACGCTTCCTTCCGGCGCCCGCTGCGCACGTGGCCTTACAGCTTTTTTAAAGGAGCCACTTTGACGACCGACTAACCCTGTATTGCTTCGCGTGCCTCAAGTATTAGTTTCATCCGTGCAACAGAAATAGTTTTTAAAATCGCTCTGAAATGTGCTCGTAGCTTCTTTACATCCAAGTAGCCTACACACTTCGCAGACGATTAGGATGGTTCATCTGCTCCTATCTCAAGAACCACGCACATGAAAGCTACTTTATAAAAACTTTTATTGATTAACCAAAAGCGGTTTCATTATCTCAATTTTAAATTCACGCATCAGTTATTGCTCCATGTTACCCTGTATGTACGCGAATCAATTTTATCAATAGACTGTTCTAAATGCATTCAACAGTACATGGGTTTGAGATCCAACCAGAGCAATTCTCTACAACCGTAGCTATCATTCCGGGTCGAATTATTTACAGGCAATATAATATTTACAAAATTTCTTAAACATTTTGTAAATATTATTAACTTACAAATATTATTACAAATAAAAATTTGTATCTTATATTACGCAACATGAACAAAATAAGAATATCTCAAGAAGAATAGACGTAATTTCACAATGTCCATTATATATATACTAGACATCTTACGATGTCTAGCCTTAAAAAACAACAGCTTTATACTGTTATTATATATAGTTCAGATAATATAATTAATTTTATATTATCTATTTGTTAAAAATATTGTATGTTATAATTTTCTGCGTGTCTCCATTATTCCCATGATTACCATCGTCAGGTCAACACTGAAGTCTTAACGATCGGTATATATATTTAAGACGTCCCTTATTCTCACCATTGCTACCCGTGAATAGGGATGTACCTCATATCTATTTCTACATAGAGATACTATGATAGTCGAAAAAATGTCGCGTAACGCTCGTATGTATGAAAGCACAACGATGGTCCGCCGGGCGTCATTTCCAGCTCACTGGCTCCTGCTTAATTGATAGCACGGAAGGAGGGGACGTCGCCGCGCGTCACTAGTGCAGATTCGGTGACGTCATCTGAACAACGCACATCACGAACATAGTCTACGAGAAAATCTAATCTGGTGTTTGTTAGAATAAATAATTATTTAGTTTTGCCCAGTTAAAAAACTGTGAGATTGACAAAGTTCATTACATACTAGGTGTAGGATGCTTATTAGTGAGAAATGTTTGTCGTGACAGAAAGACACTGATAACGGGAAGCTTAGAAACTTATTTAACTTATGAACTATCACCAATAAGTTCTTAGCCCAATGGCTTTTACTCACAGTTCACCAGTTACTAGTAGGTATCATAACTTACCTTTAGATTTTAGAAAACATTTCGAGTCCATTTAAAATTAATCAGTGTAAATAACCGTGTGGAGAAACAAATTACCCAATCCAAAATTTAATCTGTATTTAATATATAAACTAAGCTGTATATAGTACTCTGGATAAGCCAGTTTCTTCTCAAATGCTCAACACTGATATCAAAAAGGAAAAAAGGAAAAATATTATTTTCGCACTGTGTAACAGTAATATTTTGCTCAGTAACCCCTTATATTATTCTATCAACATCCTCTCCAGCACTTTCCTATGGCGTGGTATGAAATGCATTAGTATGTAGTGTCCGCGTGTCAACAACAGACGACCGGCCAACCGAAAAATTAAGCTTCATCGCACAGCTCAAACGCGTATGCGTTCAACGGCGTAGCTTCCATACCATGTCATCTCCCGCACAAACAACCACGTCATAGACAGAAAAGATGTCAGAATACTTTGAAGATGGAACATTATTTAATACTAGTGAAAACTGCATCAAAACCAAAGCAGTTTTCAAGTTTAAAGCGAGCAGACAGACGGGCAAATAGACAGACAGACAAAAACTCCGAAAATGGTTTTAATGTTTCCTATAACTCTTTTTATGATACCCTATTTCATTTTTTCATAAATATATTCAACTAGCGACCCGCCCCGGCTTCGCACGGTTACAATGCTGAATATTTATTTTCGACATCGCATTAGAAACCTCTAAAATTATGAGTGTTTCTCTAGTATATTATACATGAATTACACATTTGAATCTTCCTCTTGAATCACTCTATCTATTAAAGAAATCCGCATCAAAATCCGTTGCGTAGTTTTAAAGATCTAAGCATATATAGGGACAGACAGACAGCGGGACGAGTTTGTTTTATACTATGTAGTGATATACCGACACGCCAATTCTACTCTTTTATTATAATATAGAATTACCTCATTTCGCTGAAGTTATGGTTAATCGTGGAGACAGAGCTATTATGTAACAACCTAAATCGTTATGTAACAACTTTTTTTAGGTGTTTTATTGCTTTAAATCCCTCCCTTTAAATTTTGGTACATAAGTATATTCCGTACTGACTAATGGTGCCAAGTACGAGTAGATAGATGGGTATATTGATCAAGGGTATATTCAGAACGTGCCATAATAGATCAGTATCCCAGCACTCGCTTTTAATTCAGTATACTCGAGTAAGCTTAGTTCAAATCCCGGTGCCAACACCAATGAAGTTTTTAATTTTAAGGGCTGAATTGTCACGTGCTGAGCGGTGAAGGAAAACATCGAGATGAGAACTGCATATTTTCGAAATAAAGACAAGAAAAAATTTCAACGATATGTGAAGTCCGCCATTCCGCAGTGCGGTCGCGTGGGTGGACGACGCGCTAATACCCTCTGTAGAGAGCAGGCATTTGCCACGCAATGGGACTAACATAGTCTGTTACTTTACTGTTTACTTATATTCAGACCCTAACATGTAAGCAAATGCGATCACTCACAATTCATTTGCTTGAGACGTTACGAGCGCTACGTGCGGAGACCAGCTTTCGCGACGCCCGTCGTAACTTCCCAAGCCGTGTACATAGCATGTTATTTAGGGCGGAGCGAGGCGCGGACGGAATTTAAGTTAGCAGTCGATCGCGCATTTGCCTAAGCCTCTTATAGGGCTGGCTTCATCAGGCGATGGCCCATTTGGCATGATTAGCATGGCGAACGCTCATGTCGGACCATATTCGCCATACATCGCGTATATTTATATGATTCCCAAGGCCGGCTCCGGCGGAGTGCTGGAGACGGGACGTGAGCCGGGTACTACCACCCTTTTTAGGAATCAAGGACTTTCTACTTCCAGGGGTGGATTTGGTCGTTGCACCGTGTAATAAATTACTTTACTAATATTATAAAGGCGAAAGTTTGTATGTATGGATAGATGTTTGTTACTCTTTCACGCAATTACTACTGAATGGATTTTAATGAAACTTTACAATAATATAGCTTATACATCAGAATAAGACATAGGCTATAAATTATATATTTTATGTATCTGTCTATCTTTATGTCTTATTATCTATCTTTCTGTCTGAATGTTACGCATTCAGCCTATTCTACGCAGACGTAGTCGCGGGCAGCAGCTAGTAAATAATATACAGTGTTGTATCGTAATCGATTTTAATAAGTAACTGCGTTGAAATCAACGCATTTTTAGTTAGCATAACTAAGCTATAAATGTAATATGTGTGTGCTATTATTTGTAATTAATATTGAACGATAAAAGTAGTACACAAATAAAATATATGAAACAACACATAATAATTGGATATAATACACATATTGCCATGTACCAAAATGTGTCATCATAATCATATCAGAAATTAAAAATTTAAAACATCGTACAAAATTAAAATTTTTATTTTAACTAGAGTTTTCTGCAAACCGAGTACTTCCCTGTCGCCAGCACCTCGCCTCTTTTCATTCCATTCCATTCATTCCAACGGATGAACCCTAATGAATATCGCCGAAACCTCCCGCGTGATACAGTAGTTTTTTTCCTCTCCTCGCAAGCTCTTTACCCGCACGACCCGATTACTGGGAGTGTGCCCCGCTGTAAATAAAGATCTGCTTTAACCGAGGGCTTTGATTAAGATATTCTTTGCGCCGCGCAGCCATGCGTGCAGCGAGCTTCGTCTGTGGATATATATCATGCATACGGATCAACTTTGCTATGGTTTCGTCTTGTTTCTTTGCTAGAGGTATGTTAGCATCGCTGTAACGGTATTAAGATCTCAAAATTTACATCTATTTTTGATAATAGACGTGTTTTCTCTTGGAAATTTGAACACCATAAAATTTAATACATATGTGAATTGTAGTAATTTTGTCTACCACGTAGGAGACCTCAACAGTGTTCACTGTTGCGCGAATGGGCAAGTCCGTCTTGGTAACACTGTGGTACCAGGACCTCACAGAATACCAGCGTGAGGTGGCAGTTTTATACTTCTGCGTTTCGTTGCACGTGTGGCAGATGTCCATGGGCGGCGGTATTCACTTAACATCAGGCGAACCGTCTGCTCGCTTGGCGACTTTTCAAATTAAAAAAAAATAATAAAAACCCTACGTGTGTTGCAAATGTCCATGGGCGGCGGCTATCACTTACCGTCACGTAAACCGCCAGCTCGTTTGCCACTTTCTCAGATAAGAAAAATAAAGTTACGATTGAAATAATGTTAACCACAAGCGCAATTAAATGTATAACCGTAGATACAGTCGACGAGATACTATTATGTCTAAAACGTAGATGTTTTTGTCAAATTTCTCAAGTGTGTTGGAATAAGTCAGTTATAGGGAAGTCCCCCTCCCTTTTATTTCGTTACCTGTCATCGCGCAATCAAAGCCGCTCATTTCGAACGTTCCCATTTGTAGCCGTCGGGCCGATGCTCGGCATCTACATGCAAATGGTGACAAACAGTTGAGCGCATTTACAAACGCGCAATATACTTTTATGGCCGAGGAAAAGCCAAATTTCGACAACTGTGCAGTTGCACCTGAAACATTCGAATTACAACCTTATGCCCAACTGTTTAGGGACGATGAGGCTGCTCAGGTTGCGGGGACATAGCGTGTTGCGCCCAAGATATTGTTTCACGTGTTTTATGAGGTGGGTCGAGATTTCACGGGGCCTTCGTCCGGGCATTTTTGAATGTTTCCCTCCAATGTTATGTTTATTCGTGAGGGGTAAGCCGTCGGTTATGTTCGATTGCGTGAGATTCACAGTATTCATGCTCCGGGAATACGCTCTTATTTATTTGACAGGATGCGTTATTTATCGCATTAAGGTCGAGGCAACTGTGCAGTGGAGTCCAAGCAATCTCCTTCACATATACACTGTTTTAGGTACTTGACTTCGTGTGTTGTAATAGGAAAAAAATATTTTATTACTAATGCCGAAGACTAGCAACATTGTAATTAAGAATGACTACTGAATGACTATTGATTTTATATATAGACTTTGATAAAAAAGTTACCGCCACGACTAATCAAAGAAATAGAAGTAGTCACACAGAGTTGCAAATATTTTTCTATCATTAAAAACAGTAGGAATAGCAATTTAAACAGTGAATTATTTTTGTTTTTAACGATAACCAGACGTTAATTTACATCGCGTTGCAATTGACTACATGAAAATGAAACAGTGCTGAAGAAAAGAATCAATTTCAAATCAACAAGCACACTTCTGTCGCTGTTTTTATTGAAACACAACAGTGTATAACCGATGTTCACATTTCAAATTTATTTTCCTTCACTTAGCGTACACAGTACATCGGTCGCTTTACGCCCCTTTAGCCTGACCATAGCGCATCGTCCGAATCCTTCCATCGCAAATCTTCCGAATAAGAAATGGCGCAGAATAAACAACGTGTTATTGTTGCTTATTTTCATAAGTTAATAGTCGGGGGCGGATGGTGGACGACGATGCCCCTCGACGGACTGCGCGGGGACGGTTTTTTTGTTATTTATGTAAATATATGGACGTTGTGTTAACCTGATTGCGGGAGAGATACATGCGCTGGGGGTAATGGGGTTCTTAGCAAAACGTTCGACTCAAGAAAGCGGAAGGGAAAATATTAAGGTTTCTTCAGTTATTTTCCACGTATTGAATAACTACATCACCATCACTACATAGTATAAAACAAAGTCGTACGGCTGTCTGTCTGTCCCTATGTACGCTTAGATCTTTAAAACAACGCAACAGATCTTGATACGGTTTTTTATAGATAGATTGATTCAAGAGGAAGGTTTATATATATTATACATACATAGGGGGATCGTGTTTATTTTAAATTTAAACTTTAAAATAGTTTATTCGATAATTACCAGAGTCCTCACACTTACCCTAATTCTAGAAGTCCGCTCAACGTTTGGAAGGAAGTTGCTTTTCCGTCAAAAGTATCGATTGCCACCTCTAAAATACGTTTTTAAACGCGTCTTTTCTTCTTTGATGTCCAGTTGGGAAATGCTAACATTAATTTATTAAACTAAATGTGACTACGCCGATGGTCGCAACAGTTCATGCACATGCATGAACTGTTTTGACCGTAGGTATGGTCTATATGGTCATGCCCATATGGTCACTTTCAATATTCCGCGTATTATATCTATATAATACTATTAGAAAAAAATTAAAAATGTCGAACTATAACGATAAATTACGAAAGCAGAAAGCTTTCGTAATTCCCTAAACGTAAAACGTAAACCCTCTCTAAATAGTGTGCCTAAGGTCAAATGCCAACATAATTTTTACATAGTTGTTGTAGTTTATTGTAAACATTCACGATACTATTAACTATCTAACCAAAAAAAATTACACAAACTAAAATTACAAATTACCAATACAAATAAATCGAAAAGTCGATCATACAGAAGAAGAACCCACTACGTAGGTATAGCCCCCTCTATGGTTTATTAAAGCCACACACCGAGTCACGAAAATATGTATTGGGACACACATCCACCCTCCTTACGGGCGTTCGATCTTATTAAAATGAGATTTTATCGTTAAAGAGGTGCAATAAATGAAATTTTGTGAGGTCGCGACTCCGCAACGCCGCGCGGGCGAACGGCCGCCGTGGATGAATACAAAGTGCGAATTAGGCGCCGAGTACTCTGGACGAGGAAAAGACATGGAGACTCCTTTAAGTATAAAAATGACGTTACAAACAAAAACTAGTGTAATTTAACGAATGTAGATATGTGTCGAGATTTTCGCGCCATGACGTCATCGGGATCTTAGTTGGTAATAGGCGAAACCGGACGACGCAGGTTCGAATCCCGCAGCCTCGAAAGTTTTTGTTCATTTATCTACAAAGATTTACAGTTTAAACTACATAACTTTTTTTTTTGGAGGAATGAGTACCACCAGCTTGGGATAGTATGATTTATAAAATTAAATCCTAGCACACTGATACTGAAATACCTCAAGGTACTTTTAGATCATACTGTGTAAATAGCAACAAAATAAATAAACAAAACACCTATCCTAGATTATTATACTTTAGGACGTATGACACACAGTCCAACCCATAACCATTGATGTTAGAAAGTATTCGAAACATTGGACATTTTAACACGACTACCTCGAAACTCATTATTTGCCCTACAAAAAGGTGCAGACTAGTAAAAGAAAGAATGAGAATAAGAAAAATATTCTTTAAAAACCTCTATCTATTCACGAGACTAATGAGATTCTCTTAATCATCATCATCATCATTTCAGCCTGTTTGAGTCCACTGCTGAACATAGGCCTCCCCCATAGACTGCCACGAAGTACGATCCTGAGCCACCTGCATCCATCGACTTCCCGCACATTTGCACAGGTCGTCACTCCATCTAGTGAGGGGGTCGTCCTACACTGCGATGGCCAGTACTATGCTCGGTATTTCTCTGCGTGATAGAGTTCGTAACGAAGACATCCGCAGTAGAACCAAGATTCTCTTAATATTATTATTATATTCAATACAGCTTTGATTTCAGATCAATGTCAAAAAAAGTAAAATATTAATTGGCAAACACCACTACACACTACAACACTAACTGGTACTGATAATGATTGATAATAGAGCCAATCACTGTTACATTAATAGGTAGTATTTAATTAAAATATTTTACAAACATTCATGTTTGAAATGAGAGAATATCACTGTACAGATTATATGAAATAATTATTATCCAGGGTCGAAAGTGATTACAGTAGACATAAAAATAAAATAATTAAAACTTTCGTGAGATATTTATTACACCCGATTAATTATATTAGTTTAGTAATTAACCGGGTGACGTCCAGTTTATGTAGAGATTAATTTGTGACCTATCGGCGGTCCACCATCAGGGTGATTGGGATGAGTTCGCGATCCGAAACTGGGTATATACATCGACAGGACGTGGGTAATGAAACTCCTAGTTTCATTACTTCGTTAGTAGACATTGAAAATCTCGATGTATGGATTTCGTCCTAAAAAGTATAGTAAGCACGGCAAACAAAAAAGTTTTACTTCTAACAATTACTGAAATGGGACAAAAGCTTTTTCATATCTCAATACGTTAAACAAATTCTTAGCTTGTGTTTGTAAATAAAACTATATAAATCGCACTTATATTATAAAGTTTGCGAATTCGTTACTAAGCTTCGATGTCAATAAAAATCGTAAGCGTAAGTGATTTGTCACGAAACAATTTCTCAACGTAAATCATGTTAGAGTTTTATAGGATCCGTGAACTCCTCAGCGTATCGGAGGAGCATTGGTGCGAAAAAATTGTATAAACTAGATGCTTTTATTGCGGCCTTTAAGGTGGATGAATATAAAGTGGATTTATAGGGATTATGCGGGAAATGGTCTTTTGGGGGGCGTTAGGGGGGAATAGAGCCTTAATCCCTGAGAATGCCGTGAGCGCGGGAATTGAATTGGTTCTTGTATGTAAATTGTAGCGTGCGAATAAATAAATAACAGAATCCGCGACTCGCAACCGTTATCGAATGCATGCTATCGATACCTTGACGATTTGGCGTTTATTTATTTGTTAAATAGAGAAAACAACGAACTATTCATTTTTTCTAATAGCATTCTATTTTGCATTCGGGATTCTGTCTGACATTCTTGTGGTTTCGTCTCACGCAAACCGACGAATCATTCTTTTATAAGTGTATCACAATTATATCTACAAATATATGAGGGAAAACAATGTTAAAAACTGAACGACCCTAATTGTAATGACGACACGAACAATGTGTTATGAATAAAATCTTTTATTCTTCTTATGTAAGAAGATAACTTATCTGAACGACCACTGTAATAATGTGGAATATTGTAATTTTTTTTCTTTTTATGTGGCAAGGGAGCTGGTGGTTCTCCTGATGTTAGGTGATAACCGCCCATGGACCTTTACAATACCCGAAGGTGTACAAATGCGTTGCCACCTTCAATAAAGCGGGCCCCGGTTAACTTACTCACCACTAAGTTTTCCACTTCACATTGGTCTTCTGTGAGGTCGTACTTCGTGTGGTCGTACCTCGGGATGGACCGGCCCATTCGTACAGCAGCGAGGTTGTTGCGTGGCCTTATGGATGACAGATGATTTGTAGGGAGGGATTTCTACAGAACATACCCTGTCACATCGCGTGACAGGGTTATTTGTGGCTCGTACCCACTAAAAATAGAGCCGTGATTGCTCAGTGTCCGGGCGCTCGCCTTTAATTCAATAGACTCGAGCAACCTGAATTCGATCTCCGGTGCATGCACCAATGAAGTTTTTAACTTTAAGTGCTGTATTATCACGTGCTCAGCGGTGAAGGTAAACATCGTGAGAAACCTGCATATTTTCGAAATAATAATTAAAAAAAATATTTCGAAGATATGTGAAATCCGCCAATCCGCAGTGGGGCCGCGTGGTGGCCTATGCCCTGATACCCTCTGTACAGAGGAGGCCTTTGCCCAACAGTGGGATATGTATAGGCTGATACTTTTGATACTTTACCCACTAACGCCCCCCGGTGGCCACCTTTTGTACCTGTACGTTTGGAGGGACACCGGTGCGTTCCGCAGGAGCTCCCGGAGTGTCCTCCAAACTCGGTACTGCGCTTGAGCATGCCTCGGAGAAGGATGAACCTTCGCTGTAGCCTCACACATTTTTTTGCTAGTC